GTGAGTATAGACTGATCCATCTACTCTCTCATGAGTAAGTTGTTGGTCCAAGACCTTTGGGTAACAGTTTGAGATCTCGTCCTCCTTCCAGCTCTGATTGTTGTCCGCCATGGCTGCACCTTCTCCTTCCGGCCATGTGTTATTTTCTGAGCATTCAGAGGACGATGAGCATAAATTAACAACTAATTCACTTGCAGCCGAAGACAAGGCTACACCTTCATTCTTCCAAAGCCCACACTTGCACTGACCATTGTTCGTTGTCACCTCCTCAATAACTCTTACTTGTATAATCACCCCGTTAATTTTAATCTCGCTGATATGTTGGATTGGCAGTATAGAGGAAGTTTTAATCAGTAATCTGGCATAATCCAATCTACTAAAACTCGAGGTGTCATCATCCATCAAAATAAGGGTCCCAAAGACACTAGTAACTTTTGCGAAGCAATCTTGACTCCAAAGGTGTATAGGGATACCACTACACCTTACCCAAATTAATCTATTTCCTGCCACCAAGCTTGGGGTCCATCATTGAATGGAATGAAACAGTGACCACATATCTCGGATAGCCTCTGAGTAAGGTTCTTTGAGATCATCTTCTTCTACCCCAGATATCAGTACCATGTCATCTCCCATGTATCGTAACTTTATGTCCGCTTTTTCGTCGAAGACTTTAGTTTCCTGTAGTCTGTCAAATAACGTGACATCCTCCAGCCTTCCCACCCAACATTTATGAAGCCAGCTGGTGTTTTCTTCCTTTATCGTAAAGCCGGGCCCGTTCCACCCTCCTTGACTTCCTTGTTTTTTCGACTGTACCTCCCTTTTCTCTCTCCACGCCAATTGCATACCTCCCCGACCTTGTTGGAGTACTTGAGCGAAAGACCTATTTCCTATGATTGGGGTTGGTGTCTTTATACTGGATCCTTCTTCCTTTCGTCTACCTCCTTCCACCTTCTTCCTTCTTCCATGGCTTTTCCATTCCCCCCGCTTGTACTTTGGGGTGTTCACATTCATCTTAACATTGCCAAACCAAATCTTATCCAGCTCTTCCTCCAAACGCCTAACATTTTGAATGTTGACAAATCTCACAAAGCCATATCTATGTCCCGTTCTATTCCTCTTTTTTGCAATAAAGACCTCCCAAACTTTTCCCCATCTCTGGAAAACTGACCACAAATTCACTTCTTCGTAGCTATCCGGAAACTTTTCAAAGTAGAATGTGGTTACTTGATTCATATCCAGAAGAAAACATCAACAATGAAAAGCAACAAGGGTTGTGATGATGGTTTAGGTGGTGCTGGTGGTGGAGTTGGAGGTTTAGGTGGAGTTGGTGGTGTTGGTGGTAAAAATTAACTTACGTTGTATAATTTTTATTTGTCAAACATTATTTAAATAGATGAGAATTGAATATAAAAATATCAAGTTGACCTTTGTATTACAGGAAGTTTGGTTTATCATTTTTATTCGTATTGATAATTTTTTTCACCTCTCATTAAGATTTAATGACAAGTAAAGAAGATAAAATTAAAGTTTAAATATGTTTTTAGTCCCTATAAAATTAAGAAGTTCTGATTTTAGTTCTTGTAAAACTTTTCTTTTATTTTTCATCCTTATAAAATTAAAACTAATATTTTTAGTTCCTATTTTTATGTGGTCATTTTTAACTACTTTTTATTTATTAAAAAGTTAAGTAATCATCTTAAATGTTACCTACAATCATTACTGACATCATATCGATATTTAACATTTCTAAAAAAATTCATAGATTATTAAAATAAATGTTATTTATTCACTTTAAAATGATCATTAAGGACTAAAATAGTTAGTTTAGATTTTAGCAGGATAAATACAAAAAAAAATATTTTACAGGGATCAAAATTAAAAATTACTCATTTCATAAGGACAAAAAATAATGTTTATAAATTTTAGAGGGATGAAAAATAAAGAAAAAATTTTAGAGAGAGCAAAGTCAAAATCATCAATTTTATAGGAATTAAAAAAATATTTAAACCTAAAATTAATAGATCATAATTTTATTTTATAAATTTAATAGAATCAATTAACATAACTATTTATTTATATTAGTTCATTTCACACACACATATATAGACACACACGCACACACGCATATATATATATATATATATAGATATATATATATATATGTAAAT